GGGTCCTGGTGGATGAGAAGCTGGACATGGGCCAGCATTGGGCACTTGCAGCCCACAAAGCCAACTATGTCTGGGGCTGCATTAAAAAAGGGGGGGCCAGCAGGGAGAGGGTCTACTCTGCTCTTGTGAGACCCCACCTGGAGTACTGTGTCCAGGCCTGGGGTCCCCAGCACAAGAAAGACATGGAGCTCCTGGAACAAGTCCAGAGGAGGGTCACAAAGATGATCAGAGGGCTGGAGCACCTCTCCTATGAAAAAAGGTTGAGGGAACTGGGCTTGCTCAGCTTGGAGAAGACAAGGCTCCAGGGAGACCTCATTGCGGCCTTCCAGTACTTGAAGGGAGCCTATAAACAGGAGGGGGGGCAACTATTTACAGGGGTTGATAGTGACAGGATGAGGTGGAATGGTTTTAAACTAAGAGAGGGGAGATTTAGGTTGGATATTAGGTGGAAATTTTTCACGCAGAGGGTGGTGAGGCACTGGAACAGGTTGCCCAGAGAAGCTGTGGATGCCCCATCCCTGGAGGCGTTCAAGGCCAGGCTGGATGGGGCCCTGGGCAGGCTGCTGTAGTGGTTGGCAACCCTGCCCACAGCACGGGGGTTGAAACTAGATGATCTTTAAAGTCCTTTTCAACCCAGGCCATTCTATGAATCACTGAAATAAGCATTAAACATAATACACAGTAAGCTACACCAGAAAACTAAATTCTTATTTTGTCTGCTACAATTTTTTATTAGTATGATAGCCAAACCCCCTAATACTAAAAAGCAGTAACTGTCACAGACTTTGGCAGAGTTTTTCTTGAAAACACTATCTTCTTCACACTAAAAATTTAACTACATGATCCTCTAGGGCTACTGTTTTTCAAACAGGATTCTCAACAGCTTTTCATAGGAATATAAACATGTACATTAATATACACAGTTTGAAAAGTATCAGAGTGAACCTAAATTATTAATTCAAGAGTAAATAAACGAAATAACTAACCTGACAGGTAAAGCTTTAGTGGTTTGCTCTGGTAATTCTGGTGGGTTCACAAACATAAGTTTGAGAAGCAGCTCTAAATACCCAATATGTCTTGCCAATCTTGTACTTAATACCCAGGCCCAGTTCCATCTCTCACCTTCTCTTCGGCCACCAAAGTAAATTACAGCTAAAACATTAAAAATTAAAAAACATGTTATGGCTATATTTTAGTCAACATTCACAACTGAAAGAACCATGAAGTTTGAACAGACAAGGCATGGAGTTGGGTAAAAAGAACTGAATAGATTTTTATCAGTTACGGCTAAAAATGAGAATGGTATGAGTAACATAATGAAGTTCATATACAAGGTTCTTTGTTTTCAATAATGCCCTCTCATAAATTACATGCAAAACACAAGCAAAAGGTTTGAACAGGTCTTGTTGTCTACAAAAACATTTCACATTTTTTCTGAATCACAAATTATGGCTACAAAACAATACTGAATTACAAAAATAGATAAAAAAGTTCACAAACTTCACATAAAATAAGACTTACTAAAGAAAATGTAGAGAACTGCTAATAAGCTGAGTGACACCGCTATTCCAAGCTTTGCATCCACTGTGAAAGCAAGCAATAAACCTAAACCTCCGCACAGCAGAAGCGTGAGGAATACAATAATCCAGGAGAACTGAAACAGAGGTTCAATCTGCTGCCCTGCGAAAGTCTTCATTTCATCTAAAAAAAAAAAGACCAGTTAACATGTTAAATCATTCTGGAACAGAAAGCAAAAAAGGAATTATCATAAAGAAACTCTTTTTCACTAGACTGTATAACTTTTGCCTATTATTAATTGAAATAAAGACAATGATGCTTGAATTCTTCAAATATTAGTGCAAATCCCTAAGTTTCCATCCATGCAATGAATGAAACAATTTGTATATATAATATTTGCACTGTTTGCTGCAGATTTTCTATTTTTAAAGGCATATTAAAAGCCACACCACTTCCTATCCTCCTTTAAAAGCTTAAAATATATTCTATGACACCAAAAAAAATAAATCCACCATATCTGTTAAAAAAACCCCACAACCCACAAAAACTCTATCACTGAAATTTGGACCACATTCCTCAAATAGTCAGATATAACTGTACAATGTAAAGGCTTCAGTATTTATTTCTGTTTGTTGAGTCACATTTACTAAAACAGGAATTCCTGAAGAAACTTAAGTTAGGAACTACTGAACAAGAAGCACTAAATAAACAATCCAGAATAAAAAGATGCATGAGGAACAGGGAGAAAATACTGAAAAAGCATTTTAAAAACATAAGAGCTCATCAACAATAAAGATCAGTCAAAAACACACACTGCTTTTTGTTTAAGACATGGGGCAAATTTGTTTACGACATGGCAAACAAAACGAATGCAGAGACCCCATTTTGACTAATATAGAAGCTTCTAAAAATGCAGAAATCGGAGAAAATAAGAAACATCAAAACAAGTAAAAATATTTTGAATTATACTGAAATATCTCAGAGGAACACATCTGTTAGAAAAAGCTAAAACTGTAAATAAGATGTCTATTTCCACAGTGAAAAAT